TCAGCAGCAGCATCAAAAAAAAAAAGATACTTAGGATTTAGATATGAAATGGTTCTATGATTCTATGATTGCAGATGTACAGTTGCCTGCACAGCAGCTGCTGCAGCTCAGGTGGGCTCTTTGGCCTAATTCACTATCAGACTGCAACGTAAGCATGAGATGGCTGGACTGCTGCAGTTGTTACTATTACTGCTATTACTTTTCACTGGTGTACCTTTTCTCTATACCTCTCCTCTTCCTCCAGGATTGAAGATGAACATGTGTCTCTCCCTTCAGTCTCGTTATCTGCTGGTGTTGCAACGTGATAAATCCAGGAAGCAGCAAATACAGCAGTACTGCAGCAGTGAGAATTTGGTTGTATTAAGTTGCTGCTTTAGGCAGATGCCTGCCTAAAGAGTATGTGGTCTAGACTGTGGTCACTGTGTCTGCATGAAATAGATCTGGCTGACATAGTCTATATATCTGTTGCAGCCTTGTGACAGTAGCGTGGAGCTCAGCACAAACCCAGTGTTTGCTCACATGCTGAAGTGAACTTCTGGGTTGCCTCTGCTGCTCTGATAAGGATATCTCAGGTAGCTCATCTAACACTAGTTTGGGTTCACTACCAGCATCAGTTCCCCTTCTGTTATCATGGTGGGAGGAGCTTCTGTTTCAGGTGAAGAATGAAGAAATGTGCTTTCTAGGCTCATTGTCAGTCAACAGCTTTGTCATGTCTTTCTCAGTACTCTGGGGTCACTTGACCTTTCTTTAGTTATATGGAGATGTTTCTTGGCCACCAACCTTATATGACCTGCAAGGAAGGAGCATGGCTTTTCTGTGAACAGTGTGGGCACCTGGAGATAAGTCTGCTTCTGCTAATGCAGACCTGTGCACTGCTACTGTTGCTGCCCTCATGACCATTCTGCTTTGGTACGATTTCTCTCTGATGCCAGAGCAGAACAGAGCAGAGCTTGGGGCTTCTCTTCTTTCAGGGCATGTGAGGGATGCTAAGGTCTATTTACAATCACAAACACTGGGATGTAAAGTGAATAAACATAAGAAGCGTTGTCCGTTCTTCCTACCAAAAATCTAGTAGATGAACATAGTAAACTCTAATCAGCCATTCTTTTGGGTCAAAAGGGAATTAAACAAGTGAGCCCCATTTATGAGACAATTCCTGACATAGGCTCAGTGCAATTGTGTCTTACCACAGCTTATGAGGTAGGACACCTTTGTCTGATGCAGTCTAAGCTTCACCATACATGTCAGTGCCTGACCCAATCTGTGAAAGCATTGAAGATCCTTTTTTAGACTTGAAAAATAAATATCTGTAGTTAACAGAGCTGCCTAATTACAGCCTCTTCCTGAAGAAAAATAGACCATTTTCCCTATACCCAAGTCAAACTACTTAGGGACTCAAATTCAGACTCTGGGACCTTTTCCAAAAGGTCTAGTTTGAAGCACAGAAACTACTGGGATGTTGAGGCACTGAATGTACAGACAGAGAAGGAAATGTCTTAATGAGATACGCAAAGCAACATAGTGTCTGGGATAGGGCACCAGATTGGGATTCAGGAAACCTGGGCTGTTATCACAGCTCTGCTGTTGCTTCTTTGCCTTTGTGTGCTTTAGATTCCCTTCTAACCATCTGTTTGTCTCAGCTACTCAGAGCAATGTACCCAACCTTCCTGTACACATGTCACTGGAGGAATTGGTCATGTTCCACCTCTTGCTGTGCCTGACTCCTTCCTCTCTCCCCCTAAGCCAGCACAGGGGGTGATTATCACTTCATCAGCCCCCACGTGGAGGCAACTTCCCTCGTTCCTTCGTTCCTTCCTTCTCCTCTCCACTGGTGGCTGAGCTCCTGGCTTTGGCAGAACTAGCACTGGGCTAACAAGCCCCACTGTACCTGTCCAACTGTCCAGAGCCACTCAGGTGCAGCATTAGCCCCCGTTCCTGGTCCTGGCAATGTGACAGGGAGCACCATGGGCTGGCATTGTATCCCACATTGTTTATCAGCTCGTGTTCTGACTGCTTCTACTGTCCTTTCCTCTTGAATTGGAACTACTGATTTGAAGTGGGGAGTGTGGCTAATGGAGCAGAAATCCTTCAGTGCCTTGCAATGGCTAATAGGACAGGTAGATATTCAGGTGCAGCTCCTCCCATGTGTGGAGCCTGGTGAAAGTGGTCTGCTGACATGAGCATGAGGAGCACTGGTTACCTGGGAGGCAGTCCTTCTCTTCAGTGTTTGTAGGTGCCTCTCTGTGACAGACCTGTCTCGGACACTTAGGCCTATGGGGCAGAAAGCGGTGCGGTCAGGAACAGCCATTTCCCTGTGCTCGAGTGGAAATTATTGTAGATTTCACGATAAAAGCAATGCTGCTCAGTGTCCATTCCACAGCCCAGTGGAAAAATTACTAAGAGAAACAGCACCACAGCAGAGAGATTTACCCAGGCAGTTTTGCAGAAGTGTTGGATCTCAGCATACTTGTGGGAACATTTGTTGATACCTTCATTTGTCCATCTTCAACTCCCCTGACAGTTCATCCCTCTGAAAGGTTTACATTTCAAGTCCTGGAGATATGTCCATAGACATAAATGGGATGGAGAGATTTTGTTTTGATCAGAATCCCCTAATCATAGTATTGTGGCTGTCAGAGCAAACTAATGTAACACATTATTTCATGGTTTTAACCTTTTCTGTTACTGTCACTTGTAAATGCTTTTAGACAACTTCCTGAGTGCACGTGCATGGGAATTTTCACAAGAAATTAGGAAGCACTTTATGAATCCTTGCAAAATGTCAAATAATTATGTTTTAGCAGCTTGACAATCAATGCAATGAATTCAGACAGACAATATTTTTAATAGCTCATAAAAAATAAAATTCTTCTGATTCATTTATATCATGTCTTTTCATTAGAAAGAGCATAAAGGGCTTTGCATTGAACTTTAAGTGTTATTTGCATGACTGCAGGGACCTGCGCTTACTCTGATTAATTCCATTGTTTGTAGTTTGAAACAAGGTCAAGACCACTTCAGCTCTGATTACTGTTAGCTGAGGATCTGTCTCTAAATATAAGTGTATCTAGGAAAAACCTTCTCCAGCATCTACTCTGACCATTTCTCCATAACTGTTAAATCTGCCAATAAGCCTCTACAGTACAGGAACTCCAGCTATGACGTGTAAATGAATCAGAGGCTGCTGGAATAAGGAATGGGGCCAAAGAGACTGTAGAGAGAGCTATTATTTAAAGGTAATTGAGTGGAATGGGCAATGGAACAAGCTGAAGAAAAATAGAAGCCCCTCAGGATGTCCACACTCTGCCTTTCACCCTGCAGCTGAGGTCCCAGGTTCTTGGTGGAGTACATCTGCTTCTCTGAAAAAAGAGACTAAAAACTGATTATGTCTCTGATTATCTTCTGATACAAAACTGTGTGCTCGCTTCCATGCTAGAGTGAGAAGGGCTGAGAGCTGGTCTGTTTGGGTTGCCTTGCTGTGCCTGCGTTGGATTTAATATGTGCTTTCTGGAAAGGAAAACTGAATGGACAATTTTGAATCTTGGCTACCTGGGAAGCTAAGGATCTCACTGCACAGGCACAGAAGAGCACTTTTAGTGAGAAACAGAGAACTTTTCACTACATCATAACATGCACAAGTGTGAATTTAGATACCTAGTTTTAGCTCTCCTGAATCTAGCTATCGGGAATTGACCTGTGAATCAGAATTAAGGCATTTATTTAATAATTTGAAGATACTTTTAAAAATTGTATTCTCCACAGTTCTAGCTTATATGCATGATTTAATTCCCCTTCCCCTTGTCCCACCTCCATCATTCAATGTCACTAGCATGTTCCCTCTTTGTCTGTAGCAGCAGAATACGTTGAGGTGAGATTGTGCTGATTGGGTGGAGGCTAGATCTTGCTTCAACTGAACAGGCAAAAACAGAGGAGGGCTTTGATACTGGTTGGCTACTCATGGGCTAAAATGTAAAATACAGAAGATACAGTAACTGGACTGATAAAATAATCAGACTGTGTGTTATAATTAGGAAGCAGACAAAGCAACAGAAGATTTTGCGTGTTCCCATGAGTTATTGGCAGGTAATACAGCTCTTTGGTTAGAGCCAGGTACCATTCGTCATTCTCCTGGTGATTCACCCAGCCTAGAGTATGATGTTTCTGTGCTGTGCTTTCCCTATCTGTAAAAGTGAATTTATATTCATTCCACAGTGTAAAAGCTTTCAGATTCACAGGAGAAAAAAAGTTATACAGGGCCTGTTCCCAAGCCCACTGAAGACAACAGAAAGACTCTTATAAAAGACTGTAAGTCCCTGGAAGCACAGCATAGGACTCGTACAACTGCAATCAATGCAGAGAGTGTTAACTCACAAATTAATAATAAAATATTTAGTCTCATGATGCATTTTCTGTGAACAATAGGTAGATACTCTTTGCAATACATTTTATCAATAATAATAATTCTGAAAATGTATTAGTTATCCCTGGTTTAGGGCTTAATGGAAGCAGCTTATAATTTCAATTCTATGAAGATAGAATAAATAATATTCCCATTTGTAATATGCAACATACAGTGTGTTGCAAAATGTTTTTAGAAATATTCAGGCCATTTTGGGATTATGTTGTCACAGGTGTTACAAATTGTTTTCCAATTCTGTAAGCATTACTACTTCATTTAAATTTGAATTTATTCAGAAACATTATCTCTACAATCCATGTGAATATAGTGGGTCTTCTCTTACAGTGCGCTTTGGAATGTATAAGGGGAAAAGGTGTCAGGTTTCTTGTTGGACCAATAATATTTTCATGGTTCCTCACATAGGCAAAATGTTAACCGTGACCATTAAGTGGGCACGATCCAGACTGTACTGACACTCTGGTTTAAGGGTTTCTGGATCAAAGTAAAAATGTGAAGTACTTTTGTGATCCAAACGCAGTTTGAGAGTAAGATGTTTTCATTGATCTCGAGTGAATACAGTATCTGTCTTTTGCCCATGAAGGTTACAGCAGAGTTAGATGCCTGGAATGAAGACCTGCTGAGACAAATGAATGATTTTAATACTGAAGACCTCACTCTGGCTGAGCAGCGTTTGCAGCGTCACACCGAGCGGAAGTTGGCCATGAACAATATGACCTTTGAAGTCATCCAGCAAGGGCAAGATTTACACCAATACATCATGGAGGTCCAGGCTTCAGGTAAGCAGAACAACAGAACAACTTGATCTCTGTATCACATGAGAAGAGAAGAAAAAAAAAAAAAAAAACAACCAAACCAAAAAAAATGCCCAAACCTCCCAAAATGCATATCAAGCAAAAATACCTCAATGCATACCAAATACATCAGCTTTTAACATAAGTATGAGCGATACCTGTCTCTCCACTCCCAGAACTGTTCCACAAGTTTGGGGAATTTTTTGATTCAGGATGATATGTCAGACATTGCCATGTCTTTGAGACTTAGAGTCATTGAGGAAATAAAGCTGACTTTCAGATTTCATTCAGAGAGTTTTACAACTGCAGTATGGACTTCGTGATCAATTCCAAAGTGGATGGAGAGAGGAGGGCAAGACAAGCTGCACTTGTAGGTCCTTGCTCTTGCACTATCTGAGAAGCAAGCACTGCAGGGAATCATGAGTTACAGACATTTTAGCTAGCCAGTCAGACTTCAGGTCTGGATGAAGTCTAGTTCTTCCAGACTCCTAAGCTTGTTAACCTTTCTGCAACAAGACTTTATTGAGAGGTAAACTCACCAGATGTGCTGGCTTCATTCTCCGCAGACTTGAGTGCCTTTCCCTGTGCCACATTTCAGGGTGCCGGAGGGAGAGAGAGAGGAGCGAGGGGAGAAAGAAGCTAGCTATCCAAGAGCCCTCTGGGAAAGAATCCAAATATGAGAGCCTTGAAACCAGTCATGAAATGGAACTCTTGTTTCCAGACAGCTCTAATTGGAATTATTATATATCAAAAGGGAATATGATAAACCATAGTGGAATTTTCCTTTTTGGTGTGCATTTGAAAGCTAAAGGTAGCAACCTGGACCTAAAAACAAAACCCTTTGGCATGTGCTTTTAAATTACAGACTTGATTCATGTTGATAGGGAGTCTGTCTGATATTTTTACTCTGCTTCTCAGCAGTAGGATCCTGTTTCTAAGACATCCTATGAATCAGGATTTTTGTATCCTTGCATTTTGCATTTGGAAAAGGAATATCATAATTCAGATTAATCACTGCGTGAAGTCCAGAAGTGAATGTTACCTGTGAAGTGTTTTAGCCTTCTTACATGTCTGGAAAGACTGCAAAGCAAGAGCAATTCCTGTTCTTTCCCTCCTAATTTGCACTTTCAAAATAAAAAGGATTTTTATGGTTTTATTCTTTGGCAAACATTTTACCTCAAGGCCCCCACCTTTAGAAAAACGTGGCAGTATTCAGCCTGATTTGGCCAGCTGCACTCAGCAGAGGCCGTAAGGACTGCTGCAAGAGTTTGTTGTCAATCAGACAACCCTGTGCATTGTGCGAATCATGTGTGTGAGCTTCTATGAGACCTGCCTGCACTACGCCTCATCCTGTGCTTCAGCTCCCTTCCTTTCTGGGATAGAAAACTTGTATTAATACATCAGTGAAGACATTTGCTTTTCTTTTCTTTTTTTATCTTCATATGTGTAGGAATCCATAGGAGGTAAAGAATATGATCCAGAACAGAGCACAGTTGGGAGTCTCAGTGGCTGATTTTTAGGGGGGGGAAAAAAAAAAGTCTGTGTTTGTCAAGAAGTTAGAAACAACTTATTTTGGACTGCAGACAAAAGATTATGAACTAAATAAAGTTACTTCTAAAATGTTTTTATAAGATTATCTAAGATCAGTTTCGATGAAGCCTGTCTAATAAAAATCCATTGCTCCCAAAGGCAAGGAAGCAGAAGCCTCATGGGGATGTAGAGTTAACTGTAGTTAAAGGTAATGGTCATGTCCGCCATGGACAGAATGCTAAATGCTGGGAGAATGGCAAAATAAGGGAGAGAGGTTGCTCTTGGGAGCCTACTGTTTCTTATTTCAATAAAGGACAGTTATACTCCATAAAAAATTCATTTAATTTTACTCTCTCTTCCTGAATCCTATATAATAGTCATTCAGTGCATTAGGTTAAGGGGTGATTGTTCTTACTGCCAGAGCTGTGAACTTGCAGGAGTTCTGGGAAATCAGCTGCTCTTGCTGCTTCCTATTGTACAGTGTCACTACTGCAACAATCAGAACTCAGCTGTAGCCATGGAAGATAAAGCCAGAAAAAATCTGATTGTTCGGGGGCATTCTACCTAACCAGACACTCTTAATTGACCAAGTTTCTTACCTTGCCTGTTATTCTCTTTGAACTTTATTTTTATCATGTCACACAGGAAACTAATTCAGTTTCTATTATTCTGGTGTTTGGCTTGGAGATCTTTAAGCTAGTAAGTCTGTCAGATAAAATTACATCCAGGGTTTTCTGCACAGGATGCTTTTTTCAGTTGGAAATCTTGTGCAGGTAGAGAAAGAAGGTTTTAGACATTCACCCATTATTTTTTGCATGTCTGATTCAGATTTGGAGCAGTGATTCTTACCAGGCTGTGGAGTGTCTGGAAATCCCTGTGAACAATGTCATGTTGGTACAATAAATACAGTGGTCCTGCGATGCTCCATATCGGGCTCTGTGCAGATATTCAGGGTATCCGTGCATGTGAGGCATCTATGCAAGTCCAGTATTTCCAAGGCTCCATACAGCTCAGAGTTATGTTCCTGTGATTCCTTCCACTACTCCAGCACGTGTGGGTGAGCCTGGTTTGGATTAGCCTGTTTTCACCATCATAATAGTTATTCTTCAGAAGAAATGTTTGGTTTTATTAGGGGATATGTAAGATCTGGAAGTCAGGTTGTGCTTTCTGAAATGTTGCAGTACTTTCAAATTGTCTTTATGTCTCACTAAAATCAGTGTCCTTCAGAAAACATGTTGGCATTTAGAGAGTATTTATAACAGTATTCTCAAGAAGACTGGACTTTTTAATGAGCCAGTACTTTTTATTTCAATGAACCTATCCTCTGTTTTTCCAGTTTGGTTGTAGCTCTGCTACTGATGGCAAGGCTAAGTATGGGGACAAATATTGTCAAAAAATGGATATTGATTTTTGGGTGTCTAACCTGATATGTTGAAAGTTCCTGGTGTTTCCAGAAGTGGCAACTCGGACATTTCTGAGAACTCCATTTCCTATAGAAAGTTTAGGATCATAATTGAGCAGTGATTTAACATCTCAACCTGAGCTGCAGTGATGACAAGTTCATGTAATTCATTACCATACGCACCTTAGTCATTCTGCTTCTGGGTACTAAAAGCAGGTACTCTCTAATAGCTGATTGATTGATTGAATGAATTTATTTGGTTATTAAAGTCCATTTGCATTGTCAGTATCATTGTCATAACGAGCACCACAGTTAGGAGTCGCTCATGGTTTATGGAGCTACCTTTTAGAAGCAATTTGTCTAAGCCCGAAATACACTGCAAAGCTGATGTTGGGGAAATTTATACAGTCCCTACCTGTTATGTGGAAAATTCAAAGCCCTTTTGTTTCCTGGCTGTCAAGCTGATATCATTCACATCTTTTCCCAGCCTTGCATTGCTTAAAAGGGAAATACAAATCTATTTCATTTTGTTAGGGATATCATTTATAATTAGTTATAACTATAGTTTATATTGCAAGGAACAGGCTACTAAACTTCCCTGTCACAGTGTTTTAACTGTTCAGCCTAAGAACAAGTTCAAAGCATTTTCAAAACATCTTTGTACAGGTCAAAAGGCAATACCCCTTCCTTACACCGAGTAGTATCTCACATTGCAAATAGCTCAGGTGTAATGAATGTATGTTTTGTAGGATGCCAGTTAGTGTTGCTCAGTACTCTTTTCTGTAATATTTTTCTTAAAGTTTCAATTCATTATCCTTCACTTGATATCTGCTGCACTGGTTGAGACATTAGAAGGAAATGGCAACCAAGTTCGGTTTATCAGAAAAACAGTTGTGCTTTTTTGTCTGTCAAAACATAATGTAAAGATAATATGTATGAAATTATGCTGAAAACAAGGCTTTCTATTTTGCAAACCAGTCTTTGAGAAGAATAAGCGCTGGCACTGTAGAATAAATCTGCGTGACATATGACAAGCAAGAAAGGGCAGATCATTCATCATGGGGAGCGCAGGCTGCCCTTGGATAGCATCCCAGGCAGCTCACTGGTGGCTGCTGATGAGTTAGCACAATCAAAACCATACCAGCTGAGTGTGCATGGAGGAAAACTCTGCATTTAATATCGAATAGGTGTGGTGAAGTCAAGCATACAAAAAGCCATCATGTCCTGAGGATACAGAACCATATGCAGGCTAATTGTAGCAACAATGCCTGGTGTCTGGCATTTGAAAGGAACTTCACTCCCAAGAATAGAAGCAAATATTAAATTTCCAGTTCTAAATGGGAAGCCAGGGGCCATTCCACTTTATTTGGTAATGAAGAAACTGTTTTGTTTTGGCTGGAAAAAGGAATAAGCCAATCGCTTGCATTCCCATGTGCTTTTTCTGATAAAACCAGAAGCCAGGAAAAAGAGGATAGAGTCAGTTATAAGGTCATATTTGTTTTGTGTCCCATCCTCTGTAGATATTGCTGTGAGAGAGAATGAAAGTCACAAGTCTCAGAGGAGGATAAAGGGGGAAGATAAAGCACCTTTTTAAATGGGTTTTAAAAACAGTGTCCAAGCATTTTGTACAGCAGCTTCTAATTAACATGCTTCATTTTTAATGTCCTATTATACCATGAAATCAAATGGCTTTGGAAAAAATGTAGTGTTTTCTCAGGCTTAATGCAATCTGATTATTTATATATTAGGTTCCTGAATCTCCCTGTATTGAGGCCAATGGCAAGATTTCAGTAGACTTCAGTAAAGGAAGAGTTGGGTCTTTATTAGTTTATAATCACAGGGATTACAGTAACATGGGATGATGTAATTTTTCCTCCAGGCTAAACTTTGACAATTACATTGGTAATGTACCTAGCAATGCTATTGCACCAGTGTAATAAAGAATGAAGATGTGAAGTTCTGCATTGTATTTCATGTAAACACTACACAAAAGGCTCACAGGGTTGTAAGAAAATTCGGGAGATGGGAAGAGACTCAGAACATCTCTATTTCAACCTCCTGATCAAGTCAGGGTCAGCTGTGAAATCAGACCAGGTCATTCAGGGGTTTATCAGTTACATGCAGTGTGCAAGGGATGGAGACTAGTACAAAGCCACCTTTTCACTCTGGTATGTGAGGATTGGATGAAAGTCAGTCTGTGGAATAATTCTGAATGCACTGTAGGTTGGTTTAAACTAAATGGTTGTTAATGATCCTCTGAAGTGCCCAAACGGAAAAACATTTGCACTGTGGAGTTCCAGGTACTTGTAGCACTACCGTAGATCTGGCGACTAGAGGTTGCTTCCTTTATTTCACTTTTCTATTTTTTTCCTCATCTTTTTTCTCTTCTAAGTTCTTTTCAACATACATTTGTAAGGTATAAGTTAATGAATTACTGTAAGAAAATGAGGGGATTTTCTGTCTTTTTTTTTAAGATTTGATATTCATGCAAGTTTTTGAACAAGGCTGTGGTTAAATCATGTCCTACTAGCTGGATGCTGATGGGTGAGATGAGCAATGACCACCAGAGAAACACTGCTTGTAGAAAAATGTAATGATACAGAAAAGGAAACTGGGAAAGCCAAATACTACATGTGAGAGAATTTAGTGAGAAAGAAATTACTCAGGGAGTTGCAAATCAATGTGTTAGGTGGCAAAAAATTTTGAAGCTTGCATTTGTGAAACAACTGAAATTTTAAATAAGTGCAAAGATCTCTCTCCCTCTGCATGTTGCAGGCATTGAGCTGATCTGTGAAAAAGACATTGATCTTGCGACACAGGTTCAAGAACTGCTGGAATTCCTTCATGAGAAACAGCATGAGCTGGAACTTAATGCTGACCAAACTCACAAGAGGTTAGAGCAGTGCCTACAGCTCCGGCACCTACAGGCTGAAGTCAAGCAGGTGAGAGTTTTTAACCATACTTAATGGTCCTAAATGGGTTTTCAGTCACTGCTAAACCAGCTTCTGCCAAGCCACATACCTTTAGGTGGACAATCTTAATCCCCCTTTCCTTAAAAGTACTTGATTTGCTGACAGATTGCAGCATGACCCTTTACAAATAACACAGGGCTCTGTTCCCTCTAGTGTACATATATTTGACTTCTTGAATAGTTACAGGAAGTCTGCGCAGAACTGACCCTGTAACTTCTCAACTGGAGAAGATGCGTCAAACTCTCTGTGTTCAGGGAATATAATGATTTGATTTGGCATCCAGACTTAAGCTGTTCTGGAGAATTGGCCCAAAGCAAAGGATTACTGAGCTGTGAGGTCTTAAGTATGACATTACAGTAGTTTCACCTTTTCATTTATTGCTGTACATCTGTTGACCTGCAGGAATCTTTAACATCTTCTAGGTAAGATAAAAAATTCTGTGTCTTCTAGATCCTAGGACTTGTTGAGCCATCTTAGTACTATTACGTTGTGTTTCATCCAGATTTCATCCTAGTGTAGGTGGTTGTGTTCTGTCTCCCTAGATGCCTCACGTTTCTTTGTTTTCCTTTGTTACACAGGGTAACTCTACACTTCCTGCTTCCAAATCCATTAAGTGGTTTCACACTTCAGTGTATGTCTGGATTTCAACTGAATGGTCTTGGTTTCATTAGGAAAACCAGGAACTTTTTTCCAGACACCTGAAATATTAAGGTTTCCATTCTGTCAGTACAAGAGGCGGGTTTTTGTGTTGGTGGGTTTTTTTTTCTTTCAAGTAGTACAAGGTGTTCATGAATATTTGCTTCTTTGTTTACTAAAAAAAAAAAAAAGAAAACACACAAAAAAATAATATACTGAGTGCTCAGTACACATGATCTTAGTTATTCTTTCTTCAAAAGTGAATATTTGAGTGACACTTTATCTGAATTGTTTTATCATTGCTGGCAAAAAAATGCTTCATTCTCAGACAACTGTTGAGCTAGAAGCTGCCAACACCAACACCGGTGCATACATTTTCTTTCAAAGTCCACTTTGATGCAGATGTTTTGCAACAGTAAATGAAAGTAGCACAGAACTCTCCTAAACTTTTATTTTGAAAATGTAGTCATTTTGTGTTTGTAATTATTGAAGGCCAACTCCTCATGAAGCTTCAGAGCTCTATAGAGTGCTTTGGCTTTCTTCTGAATAAAAAGAAGAGACTCTGTGATATTCATAATCACTACCTTAATATTACAATGAAGTCTCTTTTTTTTTCCATAGATTCCTGAAGTTTCTTACACACAACTTAGCTAAACTTGAAGTTCTGTGCAGTAAATTTATGATGCAGGAGAGCCATTTTAACTTACAATAGAAAATAGAAAGAAGTAATATGTGTAGCAGAAATGCTAAAAATGCAGGTTGTCACTCTCTGACCAAGTGTCACTAGCCCACTTGACCAGGATGAAGTGCCAGTTGGTCAGCCCTGGGTCCGCTCCTGGAGCCATGCGGTGGCAGTGCAGTGTTCTCTGCAGGTACCTGATGTTCCTTGCCTCATTGTCAAGTAACTGCTGGGCCTTAACTCTTTTACAAACCAAAATCTAACCAAAGGAAATGGTTTTAGGACTGAACTATCTGATACTCACTGTGAGAGGAGAGCAGCTGCCTTGAATTAGTATTTCCTTAACAGAGCTTGGGACCATCAGAGCCTTCATTACTGTGCGACCTTTCAGCAAACCAGTAGTGAAGAATCATGTTATTTGTTCAGCTGAATACTAAGGACTCCTTTGCTTATTAACCTATAAATTACCACAGCTACAATTTCACTTAGAAAGAAGCAAGTTAAAATATACCTGTGCTCTATCTATTTGGTTTCCTGTAGATGAATCATATTCCCAACCATTTAGTGAAATTGGGAAATATATTGATTTTGGCTTGTAGTTGATCTCCAGTCTGGTCCAGATTTCCTTCACTTTCATTGTAGTGCATCTGAGACGATGGATGATCTCATTACCAAATTGCTCTCACTTTTGTGAATTGGTTGAGATGTGGTTGCTGCAAGACACCTTCTGTAGCTGTAGTTAAGTTTTGCTGACACAGTAAATTGGTCAAGGCTGCTACATGTACATGTGTTTGCATTTTGGTATAATGGCTCATGGAAATACAAAGCCGTTTAACTGTCTCTGTCTATTTAAGTTTCCTTTACCGGGTATTTCTGCTTTATATCATATGCATCAAGGGTTCAAATACCAAGACAATGAATCGAAGTTTGGGGCCATTAAAGCAGAACAATTCCAAATGAGATGTTCTGTGAACTGCTTTAGAGTGGAAAAGAATACAGATCAGCGATTCACAAACTCTTTGTTATGAAGTCCTGCCCAAGACTGATTTCCCATCATTTGGATCCCATTCATTTTCATCAGAAACCACAGAGCTTGGATTGCTTATGTAAAAGTAATAGCAGAATAGAATTGTGGAGATCAGTTTAAAAAACAAACTCTAATGCTGTGCTTGCAGCTGTTTGGCTTCCCTATCCCCTTATTTTATCTTTGTATGTTTTATTTCTTTTTTTTGTAAGTGTTGAACTTGACCTTATTTACTCCAAGATATCCTCACAGTGTCCCACTACATTTATTTTCCAGGCTGTTTTGAAGTGTATTTATTCATTTTCATGTGCCTGTTATCCATCCGCTTTTGCTGTTTGTCATTAGATTTGCTTCCAGGTGAATATGCCCAAAGGATGATGGGAAACAGTAATTTGAGAGACACTGAATATATTTGGTTTTTTCCCAATCTAATGTTAGAGAGCCCCTGGAAACCCAAAATTGCTAAAATTAACAGGAGGTGTCTTTGCTGCTGGTTGTGTCTGTGGTAGTAGGAGCCTCTCAAAGGAAAAGGGTCCAGAGATGTAAAAGATGCATTTACATTATTTTGCCTTTTAAACTTAAAAATCTTTTCCAGTGCAGCTTGATGGGTATCATTAGCAAGGCGTTAAGTCTTTTTCAGAGTCAAGGAAGGCATTCTGACTAAACTAAACCAGCAGACAGAAACAGTATATGGCACAGAGCTCTTGTTTCTTAAGGAAGGCTGCACAAGAGGTGCCTCACTTTTTACTTTTCCTGTGAGGTCTGATTCTGTGCTCGGTGAAGATGGCAGAGTTTCAGGGTGTGAATTTTAGAAGAACTTCATACTGTTATTTAGTTTCAGAGGAGCTATATGCAGAAGTAGCCTGTTTTAGGAAAATTGGAGTCAAAGGTGGGAGTTGTTTCAGAACTGTGATGGTTGCCATGTTAAGACAACCCATGCCTTGCAGTGAAATTGTTCTCCAGTGGCAAGTGGCTTTATCTAAAGTGCTGTCAATGTGCTTCTGCTTCTCCATTATAAAAAAAAGTGGTTGGGATTTTTAAGAGAGTCTTTGGAGATTTAATTAACTCCAGAATTATTTAATCACTGCTTCTACAAAGTTGATAAAATCTGTAATTTGTAGGAAATGTCTGTTTAAAGCCATCTTTTGCTGTTGGCCTGTCTGCACGTTGCCAGAAAATGGTAAATCTATTAATAGAGGAAATAATCAGAGAAGTGTCTTAGTGCTGTATTATCAGCTTATATATATATTTTAATGAAAAGGTATAAAGTACCATATAAGTAGGAGCCAATTTGTGAGCAGGTCTTGTAAACCAGATACAAATGTGTAAATTTCTCTTCCAACCATTTTGCAGTCTATTTCCACACCAGTGACAAAATGAAAGGCTCTGCAGGTGACTGGGTTTTGCACGTAAATGTAAGAAGCTTTGGGTACACAACTGGATTTTTTTTCTTACTGTATGTAAACAACACACACAGAAAAGGAGGAAAAAAATCTAAGAGAAAAACACTACTATGGAAAAAGCTGTTGTAATCCCAAATGAGACCCTGACATTTAAGTGTTAGACTTTTGAAAGTAGAATGGGGTAATTATTTAAGTTCTTCAGTCAAAATTTTCTAGTGTTTGGATGTGCACTGGGCCTGGAAGGGCGAGTGCAGGAACCCCAGTGAGTGCCTGAACCCACACTCTGGGGGAAGGCAGGAGGGGCACAGCTCCTGGGATGACAGCAGCCGTGGTCAGGAAGAGTGCTGTGAGCATTGCTGACAAGATATAGTCCAGCAGAACCTGACTTGAACTGCTTTACCGTGAATATTTTTGAGTCAACAAGACAGTTGTACAGAGGAATGCACATGTATCATTACCATAAGAGGAAACCTGGCTGCTTTCGGTTGTATGGTCCCTCTTCCTCCTTACTCAACCTTGTTGCCTATTAGCTTTTCACTAATTGAGTTGCTTTGCTTTAAGACTGAGGTTTCCAGTGATTTTATTACTAGTTAGAGACTCAGATATTTGTATGAAATCTGCATCCAAACTTCTGTGGCAGGTTTTGAAAATTTCAGCTGTTCCCAAGAGGACCCTGCCCTGCCCTGATTGTATTGATTTAAACGAAAGTGAAAAGAGGTGCCACATTTTTAGCATACGTACTCAGTATTTTCTACACTCTGAATGGCCCAAGCCAGGATATATCACAGTATACAAAATGTGAAAGCATGTCTTGCTTTATGGTGTCCTCACTTCAAGTCTTTCCCAAATACAGTGATCCTTTGGTTAACTTCAGCTTTTGGTACCATGTAGAAGGTAATAATGTAGTTTTATTGTCTGATGGACTATAGAAAATGCCAGCCAAAAAGCTTGCCACATGATAACTTGATTTTTTTTCTTCTAAATCTTTGTTGCATTTCCCAGAGGAACAATAGCACCTGCTGATGAAAGAGAGAAAGCTGACAAATGAAATTTTCCATGCTGTTGTACTGAGAAGAATTTTCTACAAATTAGGGTCAGCTACATGTGTACATGGCTCCTCTTTCTTTCTCCTAGGGAAAACTAATTTTCCTACTCTACAGGGAACTGAATGGCTATCACTAGGGTGATACATGATGTAGGGATAAAAACCAAAACAACAGAAAATCCCTATTTCTTTCAGACAATTTAATGGATCACTTGGTGAAAAGGACGGCACAAAAGGGAGATTGCTATGTAGAATATTGCAGCAAAGTCAATTTTGGAGCTTTGTAAATCATGAGCCAAATTTAGGGCAGTGATTGGGCAGTCAGGATTTTCTGTGCATCTGTGAATTGAATTCAGCAACTTTCTGGCTTTACTGGAATAATTTGACACCCACACAGGTAGAAAATAGGCTTTGAAATGGCACCGCAAAGAACTTGCACGTGTGTTCTGGGTGCTAATCTTCCAAACGCTTGTCTTAAAATAGCAGAAAATGTTACTGCTTAAATGAATAAATACAAGCTTGATAGATTAATTATGTATATTTAGGACTTGATTCTGCAGTCATTACAGCATGGGTTGCTTGTCTACAGATAATCAGAATATCCCTGATGCAAAGCTTCATGACTAATGTAAAATGCAAGACCTGGGGTTTCTTCCTAGCTCTGCATGCAGGTGGAAACTCCAACTACATCTTAAATACATGTCAGATGAAACCAACTGTCTTCTCCATTTTCACCCCTAAGGACTTACTTTTGTGTGAAAGAAACCCAGGCAAGTGGAGCAGAAAGGAGTTGCAAGGTCCATGATTCCAGATAGAAACTTGAAAAAAAGAGAGATCTTTATGTTTGATTTCAAATCTACCTAACTTTGCTTTGTGTTTTTGCCCTGGGGTATTTGTGTAGGGGAACATTCATTTTTGTGGTCAAACCATGGAAATGAAAGCTCTTTGCTATCCGAATATCCAAGTAAATACTTTGGGAATGTAATTCTTCAAGGAATAAATTCTTCAATAAGATCTTTGCCCTCTAAAAATTTATGTCATTAAGTCCTTATCCTAGGATTTCTTTCTGCTCACTGATTCAGCGTGAGACAAGACTGTGTAAAGTACCTTGTTGTTTAG